CATTAATGCATAGCTGGCTGGAGGACTCATGCCTAATGTTGAACACCTCAAAAACTGTCTGCATGTATTTTTCAAAACGCCCCTTAAACTTGAAGCAATCAAACATATTCCTGGATCAGTAGAGCTTGAATTAGCTCCAGAATTTAAATATCTTGGGGTCATTCTAGACCCAACATTATCCTTTAAGAGTCACATAAATAAAGTGTCCCAGGTACTTAAATTTAATAATCGAAATTTTAATCATATACGTAATAATTTTAATATGAATGTTGCAAAAACTTATTTTTACTCAATGATCATCTCTCATATGGACTATTGTTTGGCGTCCTGGTCACTTGCTTGTCCAACAACACTTAAAACTATTGAAAACATTTATAAAAGAAGTTTAAAAGTACTTGACAAAAAACCGACTTCCCACCACCACTGTCATGCGTTAAAAAAACGTATATTACTGAACTTCAATAACTTAATGAAACTTAAAAGAGTGTGTTTAATATATAAAGTCTTACACTCCCTTGCTCCACCACCACTAAAGCAGTTCATTAGGCATAAAGAAAGCTCAGACAGGACCACTCGAGCTACAACCCGAGGAGACTTGTTTATACCAGACAGACGGACAGCATTTGGGCAGAACGTCCTTTCTGTCCAGGGTGGCCATCTGTGGAATAGTCGTCCTCAATCCATTAGAGAATGCTCGACAACTTGTTTAAGGCACAGGTTAAAAACTGGTTATGGACAAATCAAGTGTGTGATCATGTATGAGTTGTATAGTTTTAATGTTTTATTTGGGAATAGAATGGTGTGTGTGTGAGTTTGGTGATGGAGTTTTTATTATAAATGAATTATGAATTTTTTTTATGAATTATTATGTCTATTTTTGAATGTTTTATGGACAACAGATGGAAATTAGCCCGTGGCTATAATCTGGAATGTTTACATTCATGTAATTTATTTTACATTTATGTTCATTAACATGCACTGTCCTAAAATAAATAAATAAATAAACACGCCAGACGCGCTACTTTGACGCACTACTTTGACGCACTACTTTGACGCACTACTTTGACGCGTTTTCGTGACGCAAATCTGCTTCTGAATTTTCGCGGGACCCGCAATCGCGCGTCATCGCGCTTCTCCATTGACTGTACATGTAAACCTGATGCTCTGGTCGCGTCTATCGCGTTCGGTGTGAACACACTGTAAGAGTCGTTCTTAATCTTCTGATACTAGCCCACATTACTCATTACCTTGGTAATTATCCGCTGGTACTGTATATAACTCCACGTAAGTGCTACACCATAATGGGCAGAGTCCCGTTATCAACAATTTATACTTGGCCTAGCCAACGAGCACTGATATCAGTGATGTTGCAATATCAAAGTGGCTAAATGTAGCCGTTACACCCATACCCAGAGGGCATGGGTACCTTTGGTATCTTCAAGAGGATGATGAGCTGATCCAGTGTTCCCTTACCAAGGGGAAAAACATCTTGCATGGTTTCTCCTGAATCTGAGATTAAAGGGCAGATCTCCTCTCCAGTACTTGCCCAGCTAAAATGAGGAGTGCGATTTCCCTTGTTGTCAGTCACCATCCAGTCCCTCTTCTGAACTTCACAACTAGCAGATGTGTTATTTATTTTTGACATATCAAAATGAAAATATTCAACAGAAAACCTACAAACTATAAGGCCCATTAAAATCGAGGGTGAGGAGGTGGAAACACTGGACAGCTACAGGATCACCTGAATGACAGCCGGGACTGTCATGAGCTTTTTGAGAAAGTTCAGATCCTTTAATGCATGCAGCAAGAAGTTAGAGATTTTCTAACAGTCTGTGATAGCGAGAGCATCCAAGTTGCTGTCGTCTACTGGGAGAGGCAGCATCAGTGCCAGAGATGCCTGCAGGATCAACTAACTGATTCACAAGGCTGGAACCATCATTGGCCAGAATTTGGAGGCGTTGGAGTCATCAAGAGGCAGGAAGTCAAACTGAACAAACTACTCTCCATCACAACCCATCTAACCCTGCTCCAACAGAGCAACAGAGCTCCTTCTCTCTCAGACTGATCCAACCTTGGTGCCATAAAGAACAATACAGCCTATCCCAGCTATGATAGGGCGATTGTCAGGGAACAACCTGGTCAGGTTGCCAGTCATGTCTTTAGACTGTGCAGTTAGTGGGCGGAAACCAGAGTACCTGGGAAGAATCCAAACTCCACACAGAAGGGCCCAGCCAGGTGGTGGAATTGAACTCAGGACCTTCCTGCTATGAGGCAACAGTGCTAATCACCGTAACGTAAACTCTGTAAACTCTTTGCACTGTCTCACAGTCCTCACTCTGAGCCTGTGGCACTTTACCTCTGTTGTTTACTTATTGGTAATAATTTCCCTCTTGGGATCAATAAAGAATCTATTTATCCGACCAAAATACATGAAAACACTTATTTTGAAAGGTAACAACTTCTAGTTTGTTAGAGGCATAGTGGACGTTAAAAGGGGGAACCACGGCCCCAATTTACAGTCCAGAGGCACTGTACCCAACGTTGGTTTGATGTTGCAGAGGTACGTCAGCTGGGACCACCACACAACATCCAGAACCTTGAGGGACTCAGGACAAATCCATCAATCCAGAGGGCTTTGGGGATCAAGGAGTGTTTTTTTTTTAACTACCTCAGTGACCTCTGCTCCACTGATAGGCAAGCTGCCTCCCTTGTTGGATGCAGCACTTCATCCCCACCGTATACAGTTTGTACAAAGCATTGCTTCACTGTCCTACCAAACATCTCCCATACCCCAGTTTTTGCTTAAACCCCTCCTCTTGGTTCCTCTCATTACTAAATGCTTTGCAGCTCTTCAATAATCAATGATACAGACACTGGAAAAAAGCACAAACAGCAGTAATGTTTAACATAATTTATATTTATTTTCTTTTGAACAAAATGTTAATAAATGTATTTGTTTTACGTCCAAAAAAGGTCATGACTCGTGGGACGCATTTTATAAATAATTTCATCCAAGTCTTTTGTAGAAAAAAAAGAAAGTAAATTAGCAAACTAAAGCATCTCTAGTATGACAATATGACAACTTTATCAGATTTTTTTCCTCTATATTTGAACCCTTTCTCAATCCAAGCTTCATTTTTTGTATATTTTCCTTTAAGACCTCTTTCATCTCCTCAACTCACACCACAGCTTTAGACAACAGAAAAATGCAGCAAAGGTCTCAAAAAACAGACAAAAACCAAGGAGCCAAACAGAAAACACAGTGAGATTCCAACAGTGGGGGAAGTAGGGAGAGGTTAGAGAAGATATTTGGGATTCCACATCCTCAGGACATATTTACAACATAAAGGACAAGGAGCCGGTGGATGGGTTGGCGTGGGGGCGGTGCTGGAAAGTGGTATGTTGATTCGGGGTGGGGTTCATCTGCATAGATCCACAGGACTCATATCATGAACAGCTAGAGATTGAAGGAAGGAGGGAGCACAAAGTGTGGGTCTATTACATCCACTGCTGTCTTCAAGGGAATGTAAGTTCTTGTCAACAGAGTTTGTCAAGGAAATCAAAACAAATCTCAAAAAAATAAATAAAAAATAGAGCCAATGTGGAATGGTTGTGGCGGTGGTAGACGTAGGGGCAAAACTATGGACATCTTAAAAACCTGACTTACTTTTGGACTTTATCGTTTCGCTCTGACATGTGAGCGAAGAGCAAATCGATGGGTGGTAAATAATGTGAGGCTGTAAATGAGGAAAAAGCCAATCTGGAAACAAAGTTCACCATCAGCAAGACAAGAATGTCTTCATTTAGATTTGGTGTACTTAGTGTAAGTTTTATGTCAGTATTTGCTCACGGGTGGTTCAAATCCCTATTTCTGCTGCCTAATAGGCGAGTTCAAACTAATCTTAATCCCTGCATGATCCATCCTCATGTAAATGTGCACTTTACTAGCAGCAGCCATGCAAAAAAATAAAAAGGAAAAAAGAAAAAAAAAAAAATCACACGGATCAGCCCTTGAAAACTCCTCACACTCCTCACACGCTGACAGTAACACAGCCCTTTGCTAGTCTGTGAAAGATAGCGGTTGATCAGCTTGTCTAAGGGTGATGTAAGAGTCAACGGTTTGATAGATTGGGTGGCTGGCTAGTCACATGCACCAACTCTGTGATACTGACAAGCTGAGCCATCAGTAGTGAAGATGTCACAAAGTAGGACACTAACCCCAGCTGTTTGTTTTTTCCCTCCTATATTGCACTTTTGCCTCATTAGATTTATGCAGCAGAGGCACTCAAAGATCTCGGGGCCTCATTTATCAGAACTAAAAATGACGTTGTGTGGGATGCATGGAATGGGGCCTGCAGCACTGAGAGTTGTAGGCACGTTAGTGTTTTCTGTAGTAATTTAATAGACAACTAACTTGAAAATCAGAAAGGAGACATTTGCTCACTCGCCATATTGTTGTTGGTTAATACTGACAATGATCAATAATGCAATGTGTTTAAATGCTTTCAGCGCTTCCATTTTTTCAACATCTTTCTTGCACATTGAAGTCTGAAGAATGATGTCAGATCTAAATTACTCGGACCATCCGAGGACCATGTGAATGTGGAGCCAATTGACTGAAGATTTTTGTGAACATTTAGGGGCATTTGACACTGTTGAACTTTTGTACACTTTGCTTGTCATTTTAATTTTCTGTTTTCCAGCTAGCTAGTAACATCAGTGCCATTCTCCTTGATTTTAGCTAGTATTTATTAAGACGGTTGCCATCCTCAGTCGTCTGGTGAATGAACACTGACTTGTTATAAAAACGGTAATCTTTTTTCCCACAATGGGAGTCGCAATAACCATGAACTGTTTACACCGATATTTCACAAGTAAACATTGGTATTGTACGATAGCCCTGCAACTTAAGGAAACAGCATAACAGAAAAATTATGTGTCAGGAATTTACTTTTTATCTTTAAATTACACATTTGTGCTTTGTGTAGGGTGTGGCGCAGGACCCACATGCATGTGAAGTCATTGTGAGGCTGCCGTTACTAGACTGCATAGCAACAGGGAGATAGGAAGGAGTTTTCCTTTACAGGAAGAAGACCTGTGATTGGAGCAGAGATGAAGCATGACACCAGACCAAATACAGGAAAGAGGGATGCCTATGGCGCCATCTGTAACTTGAACCTTCAACCATTTAATAAATTTTAAAAACTTATCATTTGAATTTGTTCATGTTCTCTCAAAAAAAGAACACAGCAGCTGCAAAATCTCACAAAAACCAATGAAGTTAAATTAAAAAAAACAATGTAAATAGAAAAAAAAGAGACGATAACTTCACGGAACAGTGGCGGAAGTGACAAGCTAACATTAAACAGCAAAAATGTAGCTACAGCATTATATGACTCACGATCAAAATGCTTCATCTGCATCTTTTTCTTCCTCACAACACTGATGAACCCTCAACATCTTTGAAGTGTATCTCTTTTTTAAAGTGTTATTTTTGTACTTTAGTTGTACTTTGTGTGCCTCTGCAGTGTCTCTCTATTTCCTGGTGTTCTCTCAAAAGTTGATTTGCATTTGACCACTCGGGGCCACCGTAGTGTTTGTGTCCACAATGCACGTATAATATTACTGTAGCTACCTGTCTTAACTGTAACTGTAAGTGCAATGGCAGAAATAATGCTACATAACAATTCTGACAGTGAAATTTCTGTTTCTATTTTTTTAATGACTTTTTAGGAGGTACTGAGATAAAACGGAACTTTTTTGGGGTCATGATTAATGACAAGAAACCCAAACATCCTGGAGAAAAGCTTGATGCCTATTAGAATAGAGCCTGCTGTTGGCCTCACAAACAACCGTGTGCAGTAAAAGTGACATCAAAACTGCCGGCGTGCGCTACACTTTGGTGTTTCAGATTGTCGTGTACTTCTTGATTTTTGTAACCTGCTGTACGAGCGGGTCGCTTCCATGATATATCAGTGGAATAGTGCTGTGATTCCGAGATTACAAAGACGGAGACTACAACAGCTGGAAACGGCGAGACTTTCCACAAAACAAAGTCTGCAATCTTTTTGATTCCAGTTTGGATTTCTTTTAATCCCACCAGCACTGATATGCTTTCTTTGTTTTTCCCTGAGAGGCAACATCTGCCGCTCAGGAGAATATTACAGTGAGTCTGGCGTGCCTTGAGCATCAGTAAATGGATACAGGGCAGTTTATGATGTCCATAGGCTAAGCTTAAGTGCAATCATGTTGTTATGTAGTCCCTCATTAAGGTTAGCACTAAGGTCTTGACAAGTGTAACTGATAATTTGATAGCTTACGCGTGGCTGATAAATGAGGCCCCTGGTGTTTTGGCTTCATGCAACTGTCCTCTAGTGTCCCTGGGTTGTCCCTGCAAGTCTAAGTACTCGCCGTGCTGCCTGTCTGCAACACCAACACCACTGTATGAGGTAAACTGAACACTTTAGAAACCAGAAAACACCATTTCCCCCCGCCCAGGAGCGCTACACGGTGACTAATCTGAGCTTACTGTTCCTGCAACACCATGCAATCGTGAGCTGAGTTGTCACTACCTTTTCTTTTTTTTTTTTGTAACCACTCCACCTCTCCTAACTTGCTTAACAACCCAACAAGCTAGAGGAGAAAGTGAGCCAGTCTCAGAGCACTTAAGGTCCTAAAATATGTAGGCATGTACTGTCATAAGGGGTTGAGGAAAGGTCCGGTCTGACAGAAACACAAGCTGAACATCAGAATACAGAATCACATACATTTTGTTTTCCCGGGAAACAAGATCCACAAGTGATAGATGGAGCTGGTCCCAGCAGGCCCTCGAGCAACATCACATACAAGGTAGTAAAGAAGATCCGTCTAAGGTGATGGAGAGCAGGAAGTGGGAAACAGCTGATATGTCAAAAACATTCTGGCACCTGAAAGAAAGTGCAGCAAAAATCTAAAAGTAACGAATGAGAGTGCACACCTCATCGATGTCCATTTTTTCCTCTGACATGCTATCCGTACACACACATCGAAAACAGACGGAGGAGGGCGGAGAGAAGGGAGGGGAGGGGGGGGGACAATATGCTAGAAAACATTTGGATGGAATAGAAACAATGAGCAGGTTTCAAGTGGCAAGAGGTCAGTTCTTTTAGGGGTGGTGGTTCTCAAACATCTCTCTTCAGTTGATGTCCAATTCCAGCACCCTCCGCTCCAATTAAAACCTTCCCACTTCCTGTGGTTGGCGGTTCATCGGCAGCAGGCTTGTGGAGGCATTTCCAGCACATCTCACCAGCTGTGTCCCTGGCAGCCATGACAAGCCTTCGTCTTCCTCCCTGTCAACAATCGCTCTACGCAAGCTCCAGCCCTGATTCAACCCCAAGGTTCACTCCTCATTAGAAGCACTTTCCTCTGGCGAGAAAATGGCAGCCACGCCCACCAACGAAGAATTATGGGAGGCTGAAATGATAATGACAGTGTGTAGGAGGACAAGGGCCAGCAGGCAGATCTTCAGTCGCCCGCTGCACAGTCTCGGGGTGGCGGCGGAGGTGACCGAAGCCCCCACGGGCTGGCAGGAAGAAGCAGTTCTTTTTAGCGTGCCGCCTGAAGGGTTGTCCATTTTGGAGTCCCATCGGACGTCGCAGCACTCCGCCTCACTGTCTGATGGATGGTTTCCCAAGAGACCTGAGAAAGAGAAGACACTGGATGAAAAAGCTGAAGTTCCCCTGCTGTGCACTTGTATTTATAACAGGGGGTCACTGGTAGTTTGGTGTTCTCACAGCAGATATTACAGATATACCAACTGTGTTCTGTATTCCACTGTTTTGCTGCACAATCAGCTGTTCACACGCTCATATGGAAGGCCAGAAGGAACCAAACCAAAAATAAGAAATGGCTCATAAATACATAAATATGCCATTAAATGTAAAAGTGCATTCAGCGCTTTGCAAACTTTGAAACACAAGAAACTAAAGTCGTGACACCATAATTGCTTCAAGATGTGACACTAACACATTTTAACATCATTAATGTGACTTTTAAACATTTAAGCTAACCGGTGCATTCAGATCTCACGCCGTCTTGTAGCCTGGTGAAGGAGTTAGTTTCTTTCCAAATCAAAGACAAATGAATTACGCTGATTGATTTTTCGTGGTGATAAATGAGCTGACAAAATGGACAATTTTGTTTGCTGTTATTCCAACTGTGCAAAACGGATGGCAACAACATATTTACGCATTTGCGGCTTATTATAGGGCTCCTGCAATAAAAGTAATGTGCTCAAGTTATAATGAACCAGCCAATGTAAAAGGGGGTCAAATTTGTGCATTAGGGTCAGCATACCTCACTAATCCATTAATATCTGCGATTTTCCAACAGCAGCCAGTGATATCAGACAGTTCAGCTTCACCCATCAATACTGGATCCATGAAGAAAAACCAACGTAACAACAAGATGCAAAAAAAGGTTTTTTAGCTGAGGAAGGACATGAACTGAAATTTTTATTGATTGCTCAAGGATGCAAAGAAAGTCCTCAGCATGTTTTGGTTATTTTTAGAGGCTGTAGGTAATGTTATCAGTATGTGTCAAACTTTTAGCTAAATCTGATACATCTCTATGGTGGCTTTCTGTGAAGTTGCTTAATAATAATAATTTTAAAAAGTTGAAAAAATAACCTTACAGGCAATAAACAGCTCACATGGAGCACAAACGACAATGATCTGTCTAACACCAGCCACCTTGTTGCTCATCTGCTGCCTCGGTAAACGGATCAAACGCACTAGACCTCAGTGTGTGGCTCTAATCACAACCAGACACGGTGACCCTCAAATGAACTCCAATTAGAGCTCACCACGGCACAGAGGGAGCGCATTGCTGCATCAGTTGATGGTTCTGGAAGTTTTAACTTGCCAGCATGTTTCTAAAAACAAAGAAAAGAAAGAACAAAAACACCATGGCTGCTGTGATCATCTGCACGGGGAAGCTTAAACTGCAGAGAGAGAAGCTCACTTAGTTCTAACTAAAGCAAAGCATAAGTAGAGAGCATGTGATTGATGATGAGATGAGATGGAGGACTGATGAAACTGCTGGATTAGACCCCTTCTCTGTGTGGACTGACACCTCACCTGACTCGTCTGTTGCACCTGTGACAAGTGAGATGATTTACCCTTTTATCATCTTTAAGAGACATTATGAAAACGATTAGGTTTGAGTTTGCTGTTGAATCTTAAATTGGTATGACTCATTTCCACCTGCAACCCTTCCAACCTGAGGTATCGACCCTTCCTACGTCGATATTCCACTAATGTAAGAGGCCATGCTGCTTTTGTTGCCATGCTGGTAGTGTAGGTAAAATATTTAAAGTGTACCACAAGTAGCATTTTGTCACTTTGAACTGGGGGACTATGTTTTTGGATCTGCTCCCATGGTGCATTGAAAGATGCAGACTGGATTATGGTGGATTCACATAGATTTGTGCCATAATGTGAGCCCTATTTGTTGTTGCAAAGAGCACTGCCAATTTGATTTTAGCAGCTCCTGGTTGCAATGCGCCAATAAGTTTATGGACGACTACACTAAATTGCCAATTCACTCACCCATCCAAATCATTTAAATCAGGTGATCCGATCCCTTCCATGGCCATAGATGTATAAAATCAAGCACCTAGCCATGCAGACTGCTTCTACAAACATACATAAATGAATGGGTCGCTCTCAGGAGCTCAGTGAATTCTAGCGTGGTACCGTGATAGGATATGACTGCACACCCGTAGACAGAGCAAGGTCCACAAAGACATGGATGAGTCCGTTTCGTGTAGAAGAACTTGACTGGCCTGCACAGAATCCTGCCCTCAACCTGACAGGACACATTTGAAACGACACAGAGTGGAAACTGAGCCAGGTCAACATCAGTATCTGACCTCACAAATATGCTTCTGGGAAAATGGTCAAAAATTCTTATAAACACTCCTAAACTTTATAGAAAACCTTTCCAGAATAGTTGAAGCTGGGTGACATCATATTAAACTGGGATGTCACTCAAGTTCATATGCGTTTGATGGCAGACAAGTGAGTACTTTTGGCAATATAGTGTAGCGCTGGATTAGTTCAACACTGAAGACGGCTTAAAAATGTAATAATATCTAGATTGTAGCTACGAAGGAGTTCTAGGATAATGATATGTTTGAATAGTGCAAGCCACACTAAAAATGTGAGTATCACCGCTGGGTGTTTACATTTAGCTGCGTTGTTAAAGCAGTTTTTATAAAGCAAAACATGGAAGGGCAGGCAAAGAGGATTGGAAGTCACTTAATTGGCTCCAAAAGCTGAGCGCCGCAGACAGCCGTGTTGCTGAAACTGCTGACTGTTACCGACACAAATCAGGCGCTAAACTAGCATGACTAACTTCCTGTTGATTCTAGAACACCTGCACGCACCTGCCCCTTTCTCTTCACAAAGTATCTTTGGCTCACAGTTTGCTTACAGCAGCCATTAATATTTTTGATGGCATATTTTTAAATTTATGGCAAACTAACTTATTATAACCATTAGGAAATCTTTAATTCATTCACATTAACCTAACATGCATGTCTTTGAACTTTGGAAATCCACGGAGACTCACAGGAGGGAACACAGTCAAGCAGGACGTCAAACGTTCCTGCTCAGAGGTGAGAGTGCTAATGCCCAAATGGTATTTTTAAAAAATAGTTGGAAAGGGACACCAAAAGCGCAGGAAAAGCTTTGTAAAACCAAAAATAATTCACATCACAGTTTTCCTCAGTAACCTTTTTTTTTTATAACAGAAACAAGACGATAATTGAATAAAAACTAACGCACGATGAAATGCATCGACACCTTCATCAACTAATAAAAACAAGATTAAAATACTCTGGAGAGATGAGATCCAATAACAAATAATTAAGGTGTGTAGAAAGGCGGGACGAGTTTCAAAGTGATCCAATCGGAAGTCATCTTGTTGTGCAGGTAGGTCAAATACGCACATTTGATCTCCCCCCAGGAACAGGTAGAAAACGAGACAAATGTCAGCGCTTGGGAGGAAGAGAAGAGCAGACACTTTAACACTTTAACTTTCACACTTTCTATTTCATTCAGCTGAATCAACTTTGGATGTAGTCTATCTAATGATATTTAGTCAACTAAAACTAAAATAATTTCAATGCCTAAATTTTGACGACACTTCAAAAGGGAAACATGCCTCTGTCACAATGTTTTGAAAACCTTTTGCTATAATTTGATAAGATGTGTTTTGTACAATTTTCAGTTCAATACAGGCTTTAAAAGCAAATAACTGCTTTCTGTTTTTAATTCAGTTTCTCACAGCATTCCAACTATTTTGGAATCTGGTTGTAGTTGACCCAACAGTCTTATTTAGCACTGCAGGAATTGTTTTCAGCTGTTTAACCCCATCATACTTTCATAGAATCATCACACAGCGAAAGTTGAAAATCAAAATTTGAGGTGACTAAAAATAAAATCATGACTTCCATCCGTTATAAGCATGCACAAACCTCTAAGCCTTTAGGTGTTGAAATGTTTTATGTTTCCAGTCTCATCCAGGTAACCTGTGAAGCTGACCTTTATGATTACAGAATAAAAAAAAATCTGCAGCAGATACTGAGAGGACTAAAGACTTAAATGTGTTGTTAAAACGTCCTTGCATGAGGACTGCAGTGCTCACAAACACCACTAGATGTCATCAGAAAGCCTTTAGAACCACTTCACTGTTTTCCTGATGATACACCCTTCAGTCAATACAGAGAAACACACACTGGATGATTTATTACTGTCTGTCCTTTTGCAAAATGCTACTCACCAGCTATTCACTAGCATAAATTAAATTAGAAGGTTTTTCTGTGAAGAGGATACAAGGCCCCATGAACACCCACGCATGCAAACACACAATCTGCACTCATCTCCAGGATACAGGAAGTGGCACTAGCAGCAAGTGGGTATTAACCTGTGCAGATGAAGCTGGGGCTGCCACCGTGGATCAGGTCATCGTTATCGGGCAGGATGAACGGACAGCTCTGCTGGACCTCCAGGCAGTACTGGTGGCACGGCACCTTCTTCTGGCAGGACTGCTGGGTGGTGGGGAAATACTGAGCACACAGCCAGGGCTTATAGGCCGCCTGAGGAGGAGAAAGAAGAATAAAGCAAGAAAATTACATAAATAGATGCAGGTTCATGGTCCACTAGAGGATTGGAGGAAGTTACTGCATTTGTCTCTGCTGGGTATTGGCCCTCCCCTTGGTTTAAATAGCTTTCTTCACAATAACAAATAAATATCTAGAGGTCCACTAAGCGTCACTTGTGTTTTTTCCACCAAAATAGAACAGCAACACTTCACACATCAATCTAACAGCCACTGGGATATTAGAGGTTACTGTTCAAAGATTAGCTAATCAAAGCTACGCCAAATACAGAGTAATCATTGGCAGGCAGGACTTTTTTTTCCAATAAAGCCATTAAAGGCACTAAATATCTTAATATCCACGATGTCATCAGTGACTCATCTAGGATTAGGGGCAGGGTTTGGTTAACATCTGCCCCCCTTCTGAGGGACTGCGTGTTTGAAACAGCCAAATGGAAAATCGTTTAACAGGGGGGGAAAAAACAGTCATGACAAAAATGTACGAGACTTTATTTCAAAGCAAAGGAGTGTTTTTAATCTGCTGTGGTGTGTTTGGCTGCTTGCTGCATGCCAGTGCAATCAAAACCAAATGGCACAAAATAAACTCACCACATTTCATCCTGCGTCTTCTTCCAAGTTAAATTTGCTTTAGTTCACTGTGAGGCAGGATGTAATACAAAACGCACAGACTTATGTGCATAAGGAGACAGATGGTGACATGTAATAGCCAAAGCCTCGAGCTTGGAAAGCTTAGCAAAACTAAATGAACCAAGGGCATACCACAGTCTGGATTCATTCTCATTCTTAGCCATTTCTTTGTGTGTTTTTATCGGGATTAACACAGGAGAGGGGAAAGAGCACAGACGATATCAAGCAGAGACTGAAATCAGATTTGTTTAGGACCCCACCGCCTACTGCGCCAACCCGGTGGGACCAAAGATCACTGTAAGTTCGATAAGTGCCCTCTAACACAGTCTTTAAAGGTGGATAGGCACTTTCCCCCCATCCCATCTACCTTTGTAGCTAGCTGGGATGGGGAGAACACTTGTTGAACCTTTAAGCTGAATAAACCTATGGCTCAAAAACAAGAGTTAGCATGATGGGACACACACACCAGATGCCTTTGTTTCCTTGGACTGCTTACATTGTTACATGCTTCCTATGAGCCAGCTTTCTTCACTCTACCTGGAGTTGGCAACACAATTTTTCAATTATTGTCTCACAGAAGCCACAAAGACACGCAATGAAAAGCTGTGTCAGTTAAATAACAGCAGAAATGTGCTGCTATTAAGTGATGAAAGCCACTAAAAGAGTCATTAGGCTGCCTGACACATTTAAGCAATAGAGGTAAAACAGCAATTTTCAAGTGATGAATCAAAGACAAAACAAACCATTACCAACAGTCATGTAATTACCAAATAGTACAATGCTAAAATCTTGCCATGAGCAAAGTTTTGCACTTACTAATGAATGTTGCAATAATGCAATCTGAGTTTTAAGGGGAACACCACCAATGTTCCACATTAGTATGAAGCCTTTTAAAGTTGCAAAAATGAAAATAAAAGCCCATCTTGGGCGTGGTGGAGCCTGTGATATGCTATTTTTTTTTAATCTTTAATGTTGCTTCACACTTCTCCCTTTCCTGGTAAACTGTCGCTCTATTCCCCGTTCCAACCCACTTCTCAACCAATCAGCATTTGACCTATGGCCATTCTAGCTACACGATGTTGCGTTTTTGGAGGACTGCACGGGAACATGCTTGTGCATGCTGAAAACCCCGCTTCGTAGGCAAACAAAATAAAACTCTATTATGCAATATGTGAATACAATCCATCTTCTCTGAGCCAACGCTCATTTAAAATGGATTAATGCAAAGCAAAAAAACACCCTGTGGCCTGACAAACTGGATGTTGACCATCCGGCTTGTCATTGGCACACACTTAAAAAGCCTGTGTCGCTGAATGCATGGGGGGCGGGGGGTAGCATTAGTGCCCATGGAATTGAATAGTATATACACGTTTTAGAGGAACATATGGTCCCATCCAAATAAAATCTTTTTCAAGGAGACCATGTCAAACCACATACTGCATCTGCTACAAAAGCATGTCTTGGTAGTGGAAGAGTCCAGGTGGTGAACTGGCCTTCATGCATTTCAGGCCATTTACCTGTTGAAAACATTTGGAGCATCATGAAACAAAAACTATGACAAAGAAGACTCAGGACTGCTGAGCAGCGGCTTTACTGCTGTTAAAAGAAGAGGTGATACTACACAGTGTTAAACATGGGCCTGCCCCAACTTCTCTGAAGTGTGTTTCTGGCATCATATATTTTTCTTCAAATTGTACATTTTGTCAGTTAATAAGATTTGCAAATCACTGCATTCTTCTTTTATTTCTATTTTAATCGTTTTTTAAAATTTGGTTTTATATTTTTAGCACTAAAACTATTCTTTATTGTTAACCTTAAAACTGTCAGTTACCATGTAGATGCTCACCAGTATCAATACAATCTAATAATATGGCAGTGTTATATATTGATTTTTGCACCATCATCTTTTGAATTTACGAAATGATTTTTAATCTAGAATTGATCCCTTGATACGTGTGATAATGTAAGCCTGTGCCTGTCTCTTTAAGGCCTTACCCCTCCTCCATTATGATTGGCCAGTTTCCAGAAGCATCCACCTTCAGACTTTAAATAACAAAGTAGCAAACGTTAGCTTTTTGTCTTCTTCGTTTCAAAAATTAAACTTACTTAAACTCAATTTAATCATGAAAATGAATCTGATTTTAAATATTTAAGTGAAAAACTAAGTAAACAACTTCAACAATTTAGGCAAACTAAATAAATACAAAACTGTTCAAAAGTAAACAAAAGTGATGGGGCCTTTAAATAATAGATGTGAATAAAATCAAAAAGTTTGTATGTGTAATGATAGTCATAAACCCCCAAAATGAAACAAACAAAACTAACAAAAAAATCCAAAGGGAAAGACAAAACGGTGCAGGCACAGTTAATTATCCCTCCGTGTTATTTAACCACTCAGAGACATCCATGCTTTGGAGGCGGGGCTGTCATTGTGGTTCGACTCCTCGTGGTTTTAGATGTTTGTTTAAATTGCACCCAGGTAAATCTTCACCTCTAGCACTGGCCTCCCACATGTGCGTCTCATTTCCTATTTATGCCAATATACAAAGATAACAAACAGTGCACAGGCAATTATATTAATTATAATAATCTGATTAGGATGATGGGAATCATAATGATGAGAACAATGTGCTTTGTAAAATCTAATATATTCCAGACACGTATGACTTCATGTTCACTCTACATGCATCTGCAACATACTGTACTGTTGGGCTTATTTCCAGGAAATACACTCATCCATCAAAGCAAAAGGAGAGGGGGAAAAAAGTCAATGCTGTTTGGGATTTAGAGGAAAATCTGTCTCTGTTTAAATCCAAGCTCACACTTGCAAAAAACAACAACAACAAACTGCTGTGGACTATAGTGACTACACCTCTTTGTTTGTTGGAGGGTAATTTAGGTAAACCACACCAACAGTGTAATTCCCATGATTCTCTGTTTTTGGTAAAAGCATTGTTACAGTGAAGTGGCTCAACAGCTGAACGTACAGAGGAAAAAACAAGCTCAGGGCCAAGATAAAAATCAGACAGATCAATGAATGGGGGTTTATCTTTCAAGAGTTTGTTGGAGTGTGACGTGTTAAATCCGTGACTGAGGATTTTCACTGTGCCGGCTTCTTGTCTGCGCATATGCTGCTGTTTAATTTGCGATCATTTTATATAAATTCTCACCGCTGTGAGATAATCCGTCTAGGGATACCGTGGCTATCAAAAGAGAGCCAAAACAATACGATCGCAGTGAGACAGGAAATCTGGGTCCTCCTGAAGATGTATGCTGGCAGTTGCCAAGGTAACGGCTTTTTCTGCTTTTCATTAGAGCTCAATGGGTACTGCCCCACTCTCTGTCGGTTTGTCTGTTTGTGTGCACATGTTTAAGCGTGCAAGCAGGTCTGTGTGAGTCTGCGTGTGTGTGTAAATGTGTGCGTGCGTATGCTCAGCGTGAAAAGGGAAACGTACAAGAGCAAATTGAGTTAGTCAGGAAGCAGGCCTGGAGTCTGATTTGATCAGTCTAATGTGTGATCAGTGTGAATGGGAACCTGGCACTCAAAAAGCCTCTGTCGCCATGCAGCTTAGTCTGCTTCGTACAATTTACTGAAGCCCAGAGACACAGACAGGAAAGACACCAAGCTGGCAACTGCTTCCACCAGGGCTTTACTCCCTGCAGCTGATTTCAGCAAAAGCCCATCTATTTGCACAAAGAGCTTCAGTCCTGTTTAGATGCCACGCCTGACAACACATCACGTGTCGGTTAGTCGCCGTGTTTTGGGTATTGACTCTAGAAATTTAAGTAATTTTCTCCCAAGCCAATTATTTAAAGCTGAAGAATAAATAAGAATAAAAATCCCATTTAAGTGCTAATGTTCTGCCAGATAAGTGTCAGCAGTGATGACTATTATATGAGACAGGTTGAGGTTTAATGCTAGAACAACCAATGGTTGTTTACAGTATGCAGTGCATTAATTGTTTTTAAACTTCACAGCTTAGTATAGCTTGTTAACTATTACACAAGACACTTAACGTCTATAGCACTGACTACCGTGGGTTTGGTCTTTTGCTGTTTAAAAAAGTAAGGCCACCTGCCCATTTTCATGGTGCACATTCACTTGGGAAAAGCTAGTTAGCTTTTCTTTCTTTCTTTAAGGTTGACTTAGGTGGTAGAATGGGCAGTCTAAAAATAGGATTTTCGGTTTTTTTAAGGTCTTTTCATACCTGTGGTGTTTAGTCCATTGCAATCAAGCTCGGTGCGGTTTGTTTGTGCAGGTGTGAATACAGTAATCGCTGAAATGCAGACCAAAAGAACCACACCGAGACCACCTCCTCCAAAGAGTCTCGGTGCAGTTGTTTTCATTGA